GCAGCCAAATAGCAAATGCCAATTTCACAGAGAACACTTAAGCGTGCGAGTGACTGATCTTTGTTCTAAAAGCTTTAAAAACAAGACGAATCGCTCAACCATGCATCGTTTCCATAGGAACCGACAAAACTTAGTTACTTACTCTTCTTTCCGACCTCTGCCTCATGGAGTAATATCACACTTGGGTTCATTGTAATGAAAATCCAATACAAGCATTCACACATTTCCAGTTTTGTTTCCCCTGGGTTCAGCAGATCCAAAAAGAACAAATTGAATTTTCAATAACAAAACGAAACCTCTCTTTTTCTTGCAATGAAGCCATGAAAAATGGTACTTAATGCCCTTATTACATAAGTATACATATGTGTTTTGTGCATGAAGAGAGAGCAGAGTTCCCTAATTAGAATATATAATGATACACTGAGATGTTGTATAAGAGGGTTGTATAATGGCACTGGAGCAGTAACAAAGTGTCCAAACTATGTCAGGATCATTAAACCTGCAATAACTGTTTTTCTTGGCAACTTGGGGCATGACATATCATCACCTTGATGTGTACAACTTGTTCGCAAACAGTTGCTTATTTACACATCCAGCAGTTACGGAGAAACATCCATTTGGAGTCGTGTTTCCGGCCACCTGGCATATTCAGCTCTGTCTTTGGTCTCTATCAACTCCACAGGGAAAAGTCTGGCTCATAAGGTGTAAATACTCAACTCTGTTGACCAACTAGTTGCTGTGTACTGAAAACAGCTGCCTGCTGTAGCCGAAAATGGCGCTAAGAGAGCGGGGAGAGTGAACCACAAAAGTAAAGTTGTGGACCAGACTTGCAGATTTGGCTGATAATTCTCTATTGATACACATTTATTATGAAAATACAGGTTACAGCTGCTTAAAACTACATGTAACACATGCGAAGACTTTAGTTAATGTTAAGTAGACACATTTAAGTGGTTAGATGGATGCATTAATTACATTCAGAAGGAATATTATTTAGTTACCCCACATACTGTATGTCATAGTGTACTTATAATATAATGTCTAGACTCAGATCATCGGATCAAAACATTAGATACAGCATAGTTAGTAGTTCAGATCAGCATTTTGCCAGCTTATGGCTGTTTTACATTCAGTTAAGAAAAAACTCCATACACTTTAAATAGTTTTTTTTCTTTTTTGTAACACAAGAGAAATCTCAAGATTTCATAGTGGCATAGTGAGCATAAATGAGCCTAATCAAAGCAACTAAAGACCACTGAGGAAAGGGAACAAATGGGCTATGGGAGCTTTTGAAGATATGCTCTGATGCTAGGGGTAATCACAGTGGGCAAAATGTCTGTTTTCAAGACTATTGTGTTCCCACTGTGACTTGATATGAGGCTCATTACAGCCAAAAGCATCAGGGTGCTGGTGTGAGCTGCAAGGCTTTGACAACACCATCCGATCTCAAATTGCCATATTCTCCAAGGGAGAGTCTTCATGACATACTGGTTCTCTACACACAGAGAGCCAAGCACACAAAACCCACAAAAACAGACACTCAATCTAAACCTGAAAAACATTTTTGTCTTGCTGTAAAAGGGGCAGGGGATTTCTCTAGTGGTACTGAGCAGAAGGCCTCCATGATCCACAGATGGCTTGATGAACTGCAGGGCATTCACATGGCAATAAAGAAATAAGGATGAAACAAACCGAGACACATGCTTTATCACACACTTGATCTTTACAGACTCAAACATAGAAGAAAAAGTCCAAATAATTGAAAACCACAGATCCAATTTGGTGTGAAATTTGAGAAAACTGAGTCTGTGTGTGAGAGCGAGAGAGAGGGAAAGACCCACATCTCCTGCAATGTCTTCTAGTTGCACACAGAACTTACTCTGAGCCATTCACAAAATATCCAACACAGGAAAAAATCAAATTTATACAATAAATCAGCCAGACTCAAATTCAGAGTTTGGAAGAACTTAGAGAAAAAAAAAATGATTTGAAGGTCATCACATGGATGATCCCAATCCTGGAACTGAAGTCCAGTCTGCAGTATTTCAGAGAAAAAGCACTACCTCTATGTATTACTAAAAAAAACATGTCTTACTTACTGAGAACTTATGTAGCTGAGCCATAATTAATGTTATTAGTTCCACGTAATTTCCCTTTTATGACCAGTCAGTATGTCTGCCATGAAAAAACCTCTGAGCATTTATACCCTCGGTCCATTCACACAGGACTGACATTTCCCTAACTATTCTATTGGCCAAAATAGAAAACACCATGTGTGCAGAGTTTCCTACAGTATTTACTCAAACCTACAAAGATTTATAAAGCTGGTGCCAGTCAAAAACTATATTCACAAAAACCAAAACTATTGATAAAAAAAATCAGTTTCAAATCACAGAATAAAAATGTCTATATTTCTATGTCATTATTTGTTTGTCTTGCAGGTCGCCAAATTTTCTTTTTGATTTTGCTAGGAGTAATAAATTCACAGCCCAAAGGTAACATACAGACTTCCACTGTGGATTTAAGTCTTAAATCCACAGGGCTGAATTATCTCTCACCCTTACTATCTGTCTTGGCCTATGATTCTCCTTGTCTTTCACCATTCAGCACTATCACTAAGGATTTTCAAAGCGCCTGTGGAGTAATTCTCACTCACTTTCTCGTCCAATTTCTATCCTTCACCTTGGTTTCGCTCATTCAGTCAGTGACACACGGGATCACTCACTCAGTAACAAACACATGATCAAGCACATGCACACAAACACACCTGTCCCATTACTAATGACTAATGATTCAAATGTCTAATGATTTGAGAGTAGCAGTGGTGTTGTGGTAGTATTACTCTGTGGTTCATATCTAAGCAACACAAATCCCAAAGGACCAAGCTTAGCTTCTCTTTGTGCACACAGACACACACACACACATTTAAAACTTAAACATAGTTAGAGACAAAGACAGGAGCACACACAAACTTGTTATTTTGTTCTAAAATATATGTACATAAGTCTTTAGAAATCCACATATCTTGGCATTTACATAATCTCTAATCACATCTGTTACTAAACCAGCTGACAGCCCACTGCCTCACAGTATGTTATGCCTAAAAAACACATGTTTTTAAAGCAGAATATGTGTGCAATATAAAAAAGCACTGGTTACTGGGACACAATTGAAAAACCACAAATGGATCTCGTATCTCCGACCGTGCATATCTCTCTCTCCCACACATCTCCCAGCTCAGATATCGTTGCCAAATATCACTCCACAGACTGTCTAAGTGTGATAGCCCATGAGCACCAGCTAGCAGGCAGCTTTAGTTATTCTGACCCTGATCCATAAACAGCAGTGAAGTTCTACATTACAAAAATAGAGCGGATGGGACCCCAGATCCATCAGATCAACATCACAGAGAGGTTTCATCATTGTCACAGTGAGACTTTTTCCCACTAGCCTGACAGATGCCGGCAAAAGGCATAGGGTAGACATCAATTTTGAAGCACTAAAAGCACCCTAATACCATGAAGCAGGTGCAGGGAGCAGGCACAAAGATGGGAATGGAGTGAAATAACAAAAGAGAAGAGTAAGAGATAGCAGAGTGGTGGATGTGTGCAACCAGATTCCAAATTAGTCACTGGTTCCTAATAACTCCCAATGGTTTTTATGGCAAATCTTTAAATAAATAAATCTTAAAATACTAACAGTTCTGACTTTAGGTGTATCATTCACAAGTTTTTCTATTCCAGTCTGCCACACCACAACACTACTATAAACGTGATTTTACACCATGCACAATTATAGCTTCACTGGAGAAATTAGCCAAAGTCAATTTAAGCCTCCCAGCTCTCAGTTGTTCTGTTGATATGTAATTAACGTTCCTTAATTACCCCTTACCAGCAGGTAATGTTTATTTACTATAATAATCCTCAAGAATTCAATATTTCTTGCTATTGGCTGCAACAGTTTTTTTAAACGTCGTTGCTTTAATGTTACACCATATTTCACACCGCACTGTTGCCAGTCACTTGATGCCACTGAAAACAGATGGTACAAGCAAACAAACATGCCCCCTTTTATTTAGTCAAGTGCATGAATTTAGAAATTCTATGATGGCAGAATTTGAGCTGATCCCCAAGAGGATTTATACAGATTGTAATATCTAAACCGTTCAAACATTGTTCATTATGCAGTGGATCATAAAGCCATAACACAGACAGTTGCCTTTCAAAAGACGCCAAACTTGCAGATGGCACACATTTGTCATCAAGGCTGTCTCATCTTTTGTTCATACTGTACACCAGCTAGGTTATTTTAAAGGTTGAATCACTATTGCATGCTACAGCTGTGCCTTGTTTTGTCCAGTAAATATCGACCAGGTGCTGAGGGCTTTTGACAGACTGGCCCTTTGGTCAATTTACTCATTATGTACAGGGAGCACAGACACCATCATCACCAACAGTGCTTGGTAGATAACATGTTGTGGTGCTTCAGTAGGTGACCAGCATTGATTGACCTAGAATTATATCAAAAGTTAGAAAAAAACAACATTTAGCAGCTTTAAATCTAATTGATAATCTAATATGTTTATGTAGTAAAGTTTACAATATCCTGTATATGTATAAAACCAAGCCTATACATCTAAACATAATATTCTGATTATATAGTACCTGGTTCCCAAGGTAACAGGTGATGGAAGACTCTGTAAAGCTAAAAACAACTGCACAGCAGCGAAAACAGCTTACTTTGGGTAATGATAGATTTATCACTCAAGGTGTCGAAGAGGCACCACAGAGTGAATAATCTACTAAACTGGTAAATTCAAAAAACAAGTTTACTCTACCCCACTTAAGTCCTAATCCCTCATTGCTGCTTAACTCCCTCCCAGGCAAGGTGCTATCTTGACAGCAGCCTTTCCTGTCCCATTTCCCTCTCAGCACCCAGGCCATTGATTAATCTTTGGGGGAACATGTAGAGGGGGCCTATGTATCCTTGAAACATCTTACCGGTGGCTGCTGAGAGTTGAGCACCCCCCTCTTGGTGGACCCCCCTCTGGAGCTGAGCCTCTTCCACGACTCTGAGAAACGCCCCCTGGTGGTGGGACGCCCTGGCCCAGATGTCCCGGACGCAACAGATGAATCATCCCGGGTGGAGAACGGCCGGTCCCTGCGCAACTCCCTCCGCTCAGCCCACTTCTTCTTGGAAGCCATTGGTGTTGAAAATGTGGTCAAAGAGATGTGGGAAGCAGGGCAGCCACTCTGTCGAGGAGTCAAGGAGGCGGTTCTTTAATCAAACTAGTGCCACAGGTGGCATCTTCACTTCATTCACAACTCTGCTGCCTGCTGAAGTACCCCGATTCTCTCAGTCTCTGCCTCTTCGCTCTCTTTAGGTCTTCTTTTTCACTTGGAAAAGATTGTGGGAGAGAAATTTCCGACTCCTTTCTCCCTGTTTCTTTTACTTTTTCCCTCTTCGGATCTCTTGATCAAAAGGAGTGGGACATTAGATCTTCACCTGCTCGACTGCACTCCTGTGCTCTTCTTTTCTTCCCTGTAGCCTTCCTCTGAGAGGGATGAGAGTCAGAGAGGAGAGGTGGCGAAGCAGAAGGTGCTGTCTGCACCCTGTTGCATGTGCCGTTACTGTGGCTCGGCCGTTGATGCCGTTTTCCCTCCTCACAGGCAGAGAGAGAGGGAGAGAGAGAGAGAGAGAGAGAGAGAGAGAGAAACAGGGAAACCAGGCAAGGGAAAGAGAGAGGGAGGGCGGGAGAGAGGAGGAGGGAGTTGGAGGGTACGATATTCAGATCCGGGTGAAAGGGGCTTCAAGATAGAGACAAAATAATAGCAAGGAGCTCACAGAGTGGAGAGAGAAAGAACAGGAAATAAGAGCAAATGACAGTGAGACAGGTGGAGAGAGGAGAAAAAAAGGGTACCAGACAAGGACAACGAAGAGACAAGCAGGAGTCTCTGGAGTGCAGGGTTCCTGTTGAGCATTGTGCAGAGCGGCTTTAAGCTGACTGAGAGGTACAGGACAGACAGGGGTGTCAGTAAGTCACTCTCACACTGTGACCACTCTGCTCTGAATACCCACAGCTACTAAACCTCCGTCTCCTCCCTCGCCTCTTCCTCCTGCTCCCCGAGCTTTCATTCACAATCTCACTCTCTCGCTCTTTTCAGCGCAGGGTACGCGTCTCCCCCTCTTCTACTCCTTTCTCTTCTTCCTCTTTGTGAACTGTGAACCATGTGAACCTGTGAACCATGAACTGTGAACCATGTGCATACATGGTTCACAGTTCACGAGTTAAGCCACCTGAGCCTCAGTTTCTCTGCTGCGACGGAAGAATATAGGACGATAGCAAATAAAACTGGCTGTTTGCAGTCTTGTCCACAATCTCCTGCTGCATTACTGGTCATCTCCTTTCGCTCTGACACTTCTCACTCAAAGTCTTCAGCTTGTGCTAAAAGGCATGGCCGTGCTGTGGAGTTGACAGAATGTGAGTAATGTCCTCAGATGCAGTTGTGAGAAGAAAAACAAAGCTTGTTATTTTTATTAGAATCTAAAATGCTTCTGACTCTATTATGGCCAAAAAAGATGAGAAGGAAAAATATTCAGGGACTATGAAAACAAGAGAGAGAGAGAGAG